TTGTTTTGGAGAATATGAGCTCGCTGTTTCGACGATTGTCCGATGATAAGGTGGAAGACAAATGTATGGAATTGATAGTGCATTCGTTGCGATCTGATGATTCAAGCGTTCAGGTGAGAATTGTTGTGATTCTTGAAAATTGTTGTTTTGCCGTTTCTTTTTATTCTGTTGATGTTAAAAATCATAACTGTTTGAGTAAGAAGGTTTTGAATGCTTACCACTTTTCGCATCCATGTAAGTTCATTTTGGCCGAGAAATTCGACTCTAAACTCTCGCCCAGTACCGTAGTTGTCAATAGTACCGTACAGGACACACGCTCAATTACTGCAATGGGCGAGAACTCAAAATTGAGTTTTTAGGCTAAATAAATCATACAAGCCACTAACAATAAGTAAAATTAACCAGTTTCGACCGGTCATTACATCTATGAATGGCTCATTTTTTGAACTCAAAAAACTTTGTAGGGACCAGTTTTCGCATGCTGTAAACAGTCTATCATAGCAAGGTTACATATGATTCACGGCAAATGTGTTGCAGTTTTCTTTTACGTTAAAAAATACCCCCTTTTCAAATGGTCCCTCCTCCTATATCAAAGCCATCATGTTTGCATAAGTTCAGTATTGTTTGGGGACCAGTTTTCGCATATTTGAGGTCCACTTCCGCTCAATTTGTTCAAGATACTAATGAAATGTTCCAGTTAGTAGGTACTGCCGGATACAAACAGTTTTGTAGTAACTAATATGTTATGACCCAGTTATGACCTGAACGGCTAAATTTATAGTAATGATTGAGCTTCAACCCGGAAATGACCTGAAAGGCTAATTTTATGGTAGAGATTGAGCTGTAACCCACTCACGACCCGAACAACATCATTTTGTAGTAACAGTTGAGCTATAACCCTGTAATGACTTGAACAACCAATTGTACTAACACATGAGCTATGAGCTGTACTCATGACCTATATGACAAAGAAGTGCGTTGCACTATAAAGTCAGTTCAAATGCAATGTGACACAGACGTGAACAATATGACGTCAGTTTCAGAGTAAAGTGTGCAGGGGCACACGTGTTCCATTTTAATTATTTCATTTCATTGAGCTTGCAGAGTTTTTTTTTGTGAATAATGAGGTTAGTCATACATAGTACAAAGAATGATTTTACCTAAAGAAGGAGTAGCAACAGATCAGCATGGAAAATTCAGATGAGGTTGTTGTGCTGATAATTGCACCAAGTGATTAGTAAGCTGATAGCAACTCTAGGTGTATTGAGCAGTTTCCTATTTGGTCTTTTGTATGCTATCGTAATTACCCTTTCTTTGAAACGATTTTTTAAGATAATGGAATAAATCTTAAAAATAGGAAAATGACTTTGTTTAGAAGGGAAAAAATCTGAAATGTCTATGGACAACAGAAATTGCCTCGCCATTCGTTTATTATCTTAATCAGCCAATTTCACAATTTAGAATTTACCACAGAAGAATGTGAACTAATCTGGGAGTGGTGCAAATTTCTCTCCTTTTATGTTGAAAGAAAATGTTCTTGCATCCAAAAAATTCTCTTTTCCCCATTTTGAAAAAAATCGTGTTGTCCTGAGGTTATCTAGTAATATTCTTTTCACTGGAAATGATATAAAAG